AAAGACAAGCCAAAAAAAGAAAAGAAAAAGAAAAAAAAACCCTATGAGATACCAACTCATTCCTGTCAGAATGACTCTTATTAAAAAGAAAAAGAAAAAAGTGTTGGTAAAGATGTGAAGAAAAGGCAGTCCTTGCACACTGTTGGTTTGAAAGTAAATGAGGACAGACATTATGAAAAACAAAATCGAGATTTATCAAAAAACTACCATGTAATACAGCAACTGCACTACTGTATATATATCCAAAACAAATTAAGAATGAAGAAACATTTGCACTTCTATTGTTCGCAGCACTTGTTTCACAATAGCCAAAATACAGAATAAACAGTTCAACATCTAATGAGTAAATGAAGACAATGTGGTTGATATACACAATGGAATACTATTTATTATTCAAATGATAAAATCCCTTATTTTTCCTACTGAGACCGAGTCTCACTCTGTTGCCCAGGCTGGCGTGCAGTGGCAAGATCTCAGTTCACTGCAACCTCTGCATCCCTGGTTCAAAGGATTCTCATGCCTCAGCCTCTGGAGTAGCTGAGATTACAGGTGTGCACCACCATGCCCAGCTGAGGTTTGTTGTTGTTTTTGTTTTTGTATTTTTAGTAGAGACGGGGTTTTTCCATGTTGCTCAGACTGGTCTCACACTCCTGGGCTCAAGCAATCCACTGGCCTTGGCCTCCCACAGAGCCTGGGATTACAGGTGTGAGCCACCACTCCTGGCCTAAAAAAAAAAAAACCTATTATTCTAAATCACATGGATTAAGCTGGAGGACATTATATTAGTTGGGATAAGCAAGGCACAGAAACATTAATATCTCATAATTTCACTTACACATGGATTCCAAAAAATTTAATCCCATTGATGTAGACAGTAAAATGGTGACCATCAGATGTCAAGTTATTTACAAGAAATGGAGGGATGGAAACATGTTTGTGAAATAATACACAATTATAGTCGAATGGAAGAAACAAGTTCAAGAGATTTATTGTACAACATGGTGACTATAGTTCATAATAAGGTATTTGGATTTTTGAAAAATGATGACAGCGTCATGTGGTCTCACCACAAAAATGTTAACTATATGAGGTAAAGTTTTTTTTGTTTTGCTTTTTTTTTTTTTTTCCACATGAAGTCTCGCTCTGTCCCCCAGTCTGGAGTGCAGTGGAGTGATCTCAGCTCACTGCAACCACCACCTCCTAGATTCGAGCAATTTTCCTGCCTCAAGCCTCCCGGGTAGCTGGATTACAGGCATGCATCACCACACGCTGCTTATTTTGTATTTGTAGTAGAGAGGGGGTTTCCCCATGCCTGACCTCAGGTGATCTGCCTGCTTCGGCCTCCCAAATTGCTGGGATTACAAGCACGAGCCACCACACCCGGCCAATGTGAGATAAATTATTAGCAATAATAATTTAACAATGTATATATACTTCAAGATATTATGTTCTACATAAAAAGTACAGATTCTATCTGTCACATTAAAATATTTATACAACATTATAGAAGAATAACAGTGTGTCAAATACTGTATGTCTTTGTGATAATCTTGGCTAAATGGTATCAAAAATATATAGTTTTGGGGCTATATTGTTATTTAATTTTTTAATCATAACCATAGAAACTTCTGATATTTAATAGCATGGTTTGGACCCAGCACATTGCATGAGAGCAGCCAACACACTTTAGGATTTTTACTTTAAGCTTGGGGTACCTGGAGTTTCTGGTGCTGATGGTAATGGTATGAAAGACACTCAAAGAGCAGGTGTTGCTTATGGTCCCATTACTGGCCACTCTGTGAACACATTAAACTAGTTTTCACGCAAAATAACAGACATGTTTTAATCCAAAAGCTGTCATGATCTCCAAATCTTTTTCAGAGAAAATGACCCAAGAGTTGGCTACAGTTTGGTGACTAAAAATAAAAACTGTAGACTAAACTTCTCCCACTAACAAAAATATTAAAAAAAAGAGTGAAAAATTTCTCCAAATTGTAAAATCAATATAGAAAAGATATTATTTTTCTAAATTTTAAATCCACAGAAGTCATTTCATTATTTTGTAACTTTTAACACTCACACTTAAAAATAAAAGATTCTGCAAGGAAATGTAAGTTGTGCTGTAAGTATATCATAGAAAACTAAATTTAAAATTGTTTACTTACCATTAACTCTTAAAAATTTCATTTCTATATTTTCAAGCAGGTTTTATATTTGCCACACTTTGTGTAAGAATCTAGTAAGATTTTTCTTTTAAAAACAAAGCTAACGAATTTAATCCTCTTACCTGTGGACAGTATTGTGCCTTTTATTTTTATGTATTTATTTATTTTTCTGAGAGTTTCGCTCTTGTTGCCCAGGCTGAAATGCAGTGGCCCGATCTTGGCTCACCACAACCTCAAGCTCCCAGGTTCAAGCGATTCTGCTGCCTCAGCCTTCCGAGTAGCTGGGATCACGGGCATGCGTCACCACACGTGGCTAAATTTGTATTTTTAGCAGACACAGGGTTTCACCATGTTGGTCAGGCTGGTCTCAAACTCTCGACCTCAAGTGATTCACCCACCTTGGCCTCCCAAAGTGCTGGGATTACAGGTGTGAGCCACCATACCTGGCCTTTTTTTTTTTTTTTTTGATACAGAGTCTCGCACTGTCGCCCAGGCTGTAGTGCAATGGCACAATCTCAGCTTAGTGTAATCTTCACCTCCCGGGTTCAAGCAATTCTCCTGCCTCAGCCTCCTGAGTAGCTGGAATTACAGGTACCCACCACTATGTCTGGCTATTTTTGCAGTGTTAGTAAAGACTGGGTTTCACCATATTCATCAGGCTGGTCTCAAACTCCTGACCTCAGGTGATTCATCTGCCTCAGCCAGAATTTCTCTTTAAATTCAGCAAGATTCAGTTTTACATGGAAAAAAATGTCCTCTCCATATGAAGAATCAATCTTCACCATTGATATTTTTCATCTTTGACTTGAAGTTATAAACTAGCTTCAGCAGGAATATTTATGATTATGGATAATCTATTACATAGCAACAACTGTAATATGTTTGCTACCTTTATATATAAAAACATCCTCATGACTTATGAAGCCTCCCTAGTACTTAGCTGAACAAATGGACTCAATAAATATACTTACGTCAATTATAAAAAGTAAAAGGAACAATCACTAAAAGAAAATCTATATATTGTTCTCCTCTTAAAAGAACAAAATGGAGTGCTCTAATTAAATAAAATGTAACGTAATATACTACTTTTGGAATTACATCTAAAAATTATTTTGTGTGCACTAAATTTCATAAAAACTCTTATAATCGCAGACCAGCTCACATAATGAATACTTCATAAAATTTAAAACAAAAAAATGGAAGAAACAAAAAAAAATGGGTCTAGCATGAGTATAGGCAAGTATATACAAAGAATTTGGGAAGATTCAGAACTGTAAATCATAGACAGTACAGTAATAAATTCAATACAAACTAAAAAGTATATATTTCCTTTCAGCATTTAGGTTTTTAGTTTTATAGTAGTCACCATATTAAAATGATTTTTGTTCCCACATGGTTTTCTTCTAAAAATATGTACAAACTCATATGCACACACACGCACTTAATTCCATAATTTTCTTACACCTAAGGTTTGTCTTTAGACTAATATGCATTTAACTCTATGAGAATCAAAATTAAAAGTCTGTATATGTTGGCAGGCAGACAGGCCACATGTTCAAAGAAAAATATATAGAAAATTTGAAAAAATATTTATTTTTTGAGATAGAGCCTCGCTCTGTTACCCAGGCTGGAGTGTAGTAGGGTGATCTTGGCTCATTGCAACCTCTACCTCCCAGGTTCAAGTGATTCTCCTGCCTCAATCTCTTGAGTAGCTGGGATTACAGGCACATGCCACCACGCCTGGCTAATTTTTATATTTTTAGAACGGGGTTTCTCCATATTGGTCAGGCTGGTCTCGAACTCCTGACCTCGAGATCTACCCCCTCGCTCAGCCTGTCAAAGTGCTGGGATTACAGACGTGAGCTACCACATCTGGCATGAGAAAATATTTATTAAGAATTTAGAAATGAATTTAATTTATACTTTATAATTTTTATTATGACCATAAAAATAACCCTGTGGTAAATAAAAATTTAATCGTACATTTTACAATTTTAAAAAAGTGTAGAATTGGATTGTTTGTAAAACAAAGGAGAAATGCTACAGATGATGGATGCCTCACTTAACCCTGTTATTATTATATGTTGTATTCCTCTATTAAAATATGCCATAGGCTGGGCATGGTGGCTCAAGCCTGTAATCCCAGCACTTTGGGAGGCCAAGGTGGGTGGATCACCTGAGGTCAGGAGTTCAAGACCAGCTTGGCCAACACGGTGAAACCTCATCTCTACTAAAAATACAAAAATTAGCCGGGCTTGGTGGTGGGTACCTGTTATCCCAGCTACTCGGGATGCTGAGGCAGGAGAGTCGCTTGAAACCAGAAGGCAGAGGTTGTAGTGAGCCGAGATCGTGCCAATGCACTCTAGCCTGGGTGAAAGAGTGAAACTCAGTCTCAAAAAACAAACAAACAAACCGACAAAAGAATCTCTCTTATCTTTGATGCAGTAACAATTAATCCCATGCTTTCACATGTAATCCAACAGGAATGAAGACACAGCAGGAAATAATTTCAGAGTTGAATGATGACTATTTATTCACTTATTCTTTGTGCTTGTTTTTTTTTTTTTTTTTTTGGAGACAGAGTCTCGCTCTGTACCCAGGCTCGAGTGCGTGGCCGGGATCTCAGCTCCACTGCAAGCTCCGCCTCCCGGGTTCACGCCATTCTCGCTGCCTCAGGCCTCCCGAGTAGCTGGGATACAGGCGCCTGCACCTCGCCCGGCTAAGTTTTTGTATTTTTTAGTAGAGACGGGGTTTCACCGTGTTAGCCAGGATGGTCTCGATCTCCTGGCCTCGTGATCCGCCCGTCTCGGCCTCCCAAAGTGCTGGGATTACAGGCTTGAGCCACCGCGCCCGGCCCTCATTATTCACTTTTCAAAAACTCTGTGAATATTTTTCAAGAAATAAAAGTATACTTTGAATGTAGTTATAACTCTGCAAAAAACCTTCTGATCCTCTTAAAGTTCTATACAAATAATTTTTCTACCAACTTTAGTTTTAGATTTTCTATACTCAGCACTCTGATTTAGTATACCTGAAGTGCCAGTACCTTATATATTTCTACCACAAATTCTCTGATATTTCCATAGACTTAATTATGGATTAAATATTTTACTTTTATTGCATCTGGAAAAATATGTTCTAGTATAACTCTGTTGATTTCCAAGCTGTAGTTTTTGAAAAATTGTTTTTCCAAATTTATTATACTTGCACAATTTTTCAATATAAATTCCCTGATGTTGAACAAAGTTTGATCAACTGCTTCAGAGATTTCCTCTAGAAGAAAATGTCTACAATAAGATCTGTGATACAAGGCACTACAATCCTCTTTATATTTGTAATGTTCAACTTCAAAATAAATACTCTTCACTATAAAAGCTTATATTTTCTGAAAGATCTTTTGACAGTAATTGCACTTATAATGCTTTTATTAAGCATGAACTCTCTGGTGTTGAGTAAAATGTGAGCAGCTATTAATGGTTTTTTCATAGTCTTTACATTTGTATAATTTATCTCAAGTATAAATGCTTTCCTGGCAATAAAGTGTGAGCATTGGTTAAAAGTTTTGCCACACTGTTCACACATGTAGGCATTTTCTCCAGTATGAATTATCTTACCTACAATCAAGTGTAACAACCATTTAAAGGCTTTGTCTCACTCTTCAGATTTCTAGGATTTCTCACCAGTATAATTTTTTTTATGGTTAGAAAAGTTTGAAGCATTGTCAAAAGTAGTCACATCTTTCTGATTTGTAGAGTTTCTCTCCAGTATAATTATCTTATGTCTGTTAAGAATTGAGGGCTTCTTAAAGGCTTTGCCATGTTTTTCACACTTGTGGGGTTTCTGTAGAGTATAAATTTTTTTTGAGACGAAGTCTTACTCTGTTGTCAAACTGGAGTGCAGTGGTGCAATCTTGGCTCACTGCAACCTCCGCCTCCCAGGTTCAAGTGATTCTCCTGCCTCAGCCTCCCAAGTAGATGTGAATACAGACACGCACCACCACACCCAGATAATTTTTGTATTTTTAGTAGAGACAGGGTTTCACCATGTTGGCCAGGATGGTCTCGATCTCTTGACCTTGTGATCCGCCCGCCTCAGCCTCCCAAAATGCTGGGATTACAAGCATGAGCCACTGCACCGGCCAATTTTTAACGCTTAGTAAGAGTTGAGGACTGCTTAAAGGCTTTCCCACATTCTTCACATTTGTAGAGTTTCTCTCCAGTAAGAATTATTTTGTTTAATAAGGTTTGAGGACTGGTTAAATGCATTGCCACATTCTTCACAGTTGTAGGGTTTCTTTCTAGTATGAATTTTCCTATGTTTAGTAAGAGTTGAGGATTGGTTAAAGGCTTTACCACATTCTTCACATTTGTAAGATTTCTCTCCTGTATGAATTATCTTATGTTTAGTAAGATTTGAGGATCGGTTAAAAGCTTTGCCACATTCTTCACATTTGTAGGGTTTCTCTCCAGTGTGAATTCTCTTATGTGTAGTAAGGATTGATGATTGGCTAAAAGCTTTGCCACATTCTTCACACTTGTAAGGTTTCTCTCCAGTATGAATTATCTTATGTGCAGTAAGTTGTGGGGACCGGTTAAAGGCTTTGCCACATTCTTCACATTTGTAGGGTTTCTCTCCAGTATGAATCATCTTATGTGTAGTAAGGTTTGAGGACTCATTAAAGGCTTTGCCACACACTTCACATTTGTAAGGTTTCTCTCCAGTATGAATTCTTTTGTGTTTAGTAAGGGTTGAGGACCAATTAAAGCCTTTGCCACATTCTTCACATTTGTAAGATTTTTCTCCAGTATGAATTATCTTATGTTTAGTAAGGTATGAGAATCGGTTAAAAGCTTTGTCACATTCTTCACATTTGTAGGGTTTCTCTCCAGCATGAATGAACTTATGTGTAGTAAGGGTTGAAGACTGGTTAAAAGCTTTGCCACATTCTTCACATTTGTAGGGTTTCTCTCCAGTATGAATTATCTTATGTGTAGTAAGGTGTGAGGACCGGTTGAAGGCTTTGCCACATTCTTCACATTTGTAGGGTTTCTCTCCAGTATGAATTATCTTATGTGTAGTAAGGGTTGAGGACTGCTTAAAAGCTTTGCCACATTCTTCACATTTGAAGGGTTTCTCTCCAGTATGAATTCTCTTGTGTCTAGTAAGGGTTGAGAACCATTTAAAGGATTTGCCACATTCCTCACATTGGTAAGAATTCTCTCTAATATGAATTCTTTTATGTTGACTTAGGTGTAAAAGCATGCAAAATGATTTGCCACATTTTTTACATTTGAAAGGTTTCTTTCCAGTATGTCTTGTCTTATGTCTATTTGCATTTAAAAATTTATGAAAGACTTTTATATATTTATCACATGGAAATATTGCGCTCTGGGTAGTTGTCAAACACTGGTTTAGTTCATTATAACCTTCTTTGTACACCTTATACTCATCTACACTTGTGGAGCCTTTTCTTAACTGTAAATTCTCATGTTCACATTTTCCATATCTTCTCAGTATTACTTGTTGAAAAGAATCTTTTATGTCTTGTTCTGGCCAAAGGTCTTTGGTAAAATAAGAACACATAGCTGAAAGAAATAAAAACAACAAATTATTCAACTTACTAGACTCTGATAAACATACTTTACAAATCTCACCTATATTATACAAACTACATAAGCAAGATGCCATAATAAAATACCACAGGCCCTAAATCCTTCATAGACATATAAATGTAATAAAAACATACTGACCAAAATACATTTGAGGACAACTTAAAATAAGTGTGTAAATTTCCCCAGGTGAGTACACAGGAATGCAAAGGCACAGAAGAAAAAGAAAAGTCTGTGGCATTTAGCCAACACAGTTCTTCCTACTCAACAATATTACATAGTGCCTTTCTAAGTAGAAGCTAACTTTTCATTTCTTTTTTAATAAACAAGTAAAATACTGGCACATACATCTATATTACTTGCTTCTACGGGCCTTTCAAGAAACTGGTCTCCCATAACATAAAGTGCTGAAAGAAATGGTGGTATATTTTGGAATTACACTTTGGGTCTGCTGAGACCAACAGTAAATGTTACAGCAGCAGAGAGACTGCAGTACCACAGACAGGGAACAGATACAGCAAATGATTGCTGATGAAGATGAAACAGAAATAAACTCCTTTAACTAAAAAATAAACACAAAATTTTAGACAAGACACACTTGAAGAACATGTTTGAGAGTCTCACAGGACCTCAAACCAAGATAATTGTTTTCAGACTATGCCAGGACAAAGCTACATTATAAACAATGTGACAGGTAGCTTTATTTAATGTTCAAATATTAATCAAAGATTACAATGAATACAAAATAGGGCAAAATCCTTCCATCAAAATTATAAGATTTTCAGAAAGAAACCATAAAAAGATGTATATATTAATTTTTAAAATTGAAAATAAATTGAATACTCAATGAGTAAAATAGGAACACAGAACTACAGAAAATCAGAAAAAAATGAGGATAAGAACAAAAATATTTAAAATACCCCAAAAAACAGAAATTATAAAGGAAAATATAAAAAATTTGGAAAGAAAAAATAATATCAAAATGAAGAAGCTCAACAAACACACTAGGATACACACAAAGATATTTATAACAAACGCATATATAAGCACAATTTCGAAGAAGAGAATGGAGCTGCAAGATAAAAACGACATGTCATTTACAAGTATAGTCTTATGAGATAGCTGGTAAACTGTCAAAAAAACTTTGCAGGCCAGAAGGAAACTGTGTGATATAGTCAAAGTCCTGAAAAAAATAGCTATCAAGTTAGAATAATACCATCAGCATATCTGTCCTGCCAAGTAGAAAGAAAAAAACCTTCAAAAATAACCAAATACTGAAAAAGTATATTGGCTCTTCATATGCCTTACATATAAAAGGTGCTGATAACCGTTGCTGCTACTGAAAATAACATGATTCAACAAAACAACATACCATCATATAAAATACATTATTCTCTGGGAAAAAAATGCACATACACAAAAATGGAAGTTCTTAGCATTATAATAATAGTGCAAAAATATTAATTATTCTCTAAAATTTGAAAGGTAAAAGCATAGAAATCATTATAAACATTTGTTAGTGAATATACAACATAAAATATATAATTGGCAACATCAATGACAAATTTGAAGGCAGATATAATGAGAAAAAAATTTTCAATGCAACTTAAGTTCTTTCTTTTTTTTTTTGATATGGAGTCTCACTCTGTCACCAGGCTGGAGTGCAGTGGTGCAATCTTAGCTCACAGCAACCTCCACCTCCTGAGTTCAAATTCTCCTGCCTCAGCCTCCCAAGTAGCTGGGACTACAGGTGTGCACCACCATGCCCAGCTAATTTTTGTATTTTTAGTAGAGATGGGGCTTCATCTTGTTGGCCAGGATGGTCTCGATCCCTTGACCTTGTGATCCACCCACCTCAACCTCCCAAAGTGCTGGGAATATATGTGTGAGCCACCACACCCGGCCTGAAGTTCATTTTTTACCAGATTAAACTACATTGTTGTATCTTTTAGAGGTTTTATATAATCCCCAAGGTAATCCCAAGAATATATTTGCATAGATACGTAAAACAAATGGGAAAGAAATAAAAGCATATCAAGATAAGTATAACAAAGACACAAAGACAGAAAAAAGAGAAAATGAGGAACAAAGATACAAGAAGCAAATAAAACAATAAAATAACAGTAGTAAGTCTTCATAAGTGGAGAAAAATAAAATTCTTTTGAGACAAGCAAATGCTAAGGGAACACATCACTACCAGGCCTGCTTTGCTAGAGCTCCTGAAAGGTTAAGGAGAAAAAACCATTACCAGTCATTGCAAAAACACACTAAAGTACAAAGATCAACTACGCTATAAAACAACTACATCAACAACTCTGCAAAATAAGCAGCTAGCACCACTTGGACAGAATCAAAATCACACATAACAATATTAACCTTAAATGTAATAGGCTGAATATTTCAATTCAAAGACACAGAAGGGCAAGCTGGATAAAGAGGCAAGACACAGTTTGGGACCAGCCTGGCCAACATAGTGAAACTCCATCTCTACTAAAAATACAAAAAATTAGCTGGGTGTGGTGGCGGGCGCCTGTAATCCCAGCTACTCAAAACCACACAGCTACATCAAAACTGAACAACCTACTCCTGAATGAATTTCCTGAATGAACAACTTGCTCCTCTTTATTTCTGGATAAATAATGCAACTAAATCAGAAATCAAGAAAGTATTTGAAAACAATGAGAATGAAGAGACAATGTACCAGAATTTCTAGAACACAGCTAAAGCAGTGTAAGAGGGAAATTTATAGCACTAAATACTCACATCAAAAACCTAGATCTTAAATGGACACCCTAACATCATAACTAAAAGAATGAGAAAACCGAGAGCAAACAAAACTTAAAGCTAGCAGCAGACAAGAAATAACCAGATTCAGACTGGAAGTGAATGACACTGAGACCCAAAAAACCCTTCAAAAAACTCAATGAATCCAGGAGCTGGTTTTTTTTTGTTTGTTTGTTTGTTTTGACAAAATTAATAAAATAGACTGCTAGCTAGACTAATAGAGAAAAAAAGAGAGAAGAATGTAATAGACAATAAAAGTGATAAAGGGGATCTCATCACTGACCCCACAGAAATAAAAACAATGTTCAGAAAATACTATAAACACCTCTGTGCACATAAACTGGAAAATCGAGAAGAAATGGAAAAATTCTTGGACACAGCTATCCTTTCAAGACTGAACCAGAAGAAGTTGAATCCCTGCATAGACCAATAACAAGTTCTGAAATTGAGGCGGTAACAAATAACCTACTAACCAAAAAAGTCCAGGATCAGATAAATTTATAGCTGAATTCTACCAGAGGCACAAAGAGGATCTGGTACCATTTCTTCTGAAACTATTCCAAATGATGGAAAAGAAGGGGTCTCTCCTTAACTCATTCTATGAGTCCAGCATGGCAGAGATATAACAAAATAAAACAACAACAACACACAAACACATACACACAAAAACCTTCAAGCCAATATTCCTGATAAACATCAATGCAAAAATTCTCAATAAAATACTGGCAAAGTGAATCCAGCAGCACGTTAAAAAGCTTTATTCCTGGGATGCAAGGCTGGTTGAACATACAAAAATTGATGTAATTCAAGTCAGCTTTATTTCCAGGATGGAAGGCTGGTTCAACATACAAAAATCGATGTAATTCATCACATAAACAGATATAAAGACAAAAACTACATGATTATCTCAAAAACGCAGAAAAGGCCTTCGATCAAATTTAACATCCCAACATGTTAAAAACTCTCAATAAACAAGGTATTCACGAAACATATATCAAAATAATAAGAGCTATCTATGACAAACCCATAGCCAATACCAAAGGGCAAAAGCTGGAAGCATTCCCCTTGAAAATTGGCACTAGAAAATGATGCCCTCTCCCACCACTCTTATTTAACATAGTATTGCAATTTCTGACCAGGGAAATCAGGCAAGAGAAATAAATAAGTGATATTCAAACAGGAAGTCAAACTGTCTGTCTGTAGACGACTTGATTCTAGATCTAGAAAGCCCCAATGTCTCAGCCCAAAAGCTTCTTCATCTTATACGCAACTTCAGCAAAGTCTCAGGATACAAAATTAATGTGCAAAAATCACAAGCATTTCAATACACCAACAATAAACAAGCAGAGAACCAAATCATGAATAAACTCCCATTCACAATTGCTACAAAGATAACAAAGTACCAAGGAATAAATCTAACAAGGGAAGTGAAGGACCTCTTCAAGGAGAACTACAAACTCAAGCCTGTCATCCCAGCACTTTGGGAGGCCGAGACGGGCGGATCACGAGGTCAGGAGATCGAGACCATCCTGGCTAACACGGTGAAACCCCGTCTCTACTAAAAAATACAAAAAACTAGCCGGGCGCGGTGGCGGGCGCCTGTAGTCCCAACTACTCCGGAGGCTGAGGCAGGAGAATGGCGTGAACCCGGGAGGCGGAGCTTGCAGTGAGCTGAGATCCGGCCATTGCACTCCAGCCTGGGCGGCAGAGCGAGACTCCGTCTCAAAAAAAAAAAAAAAAGAAAAAGAAAATCAGAGAGGACACAAACAAATAAAAAAGACAGAAAGAATCAATATTGTAAAAATGCCCATACTGCTCGAAGTAATTTATAGATTCCATGCTATTCTGACTAAACTACCACTGACATTCTTCACAGAATTAGAAAAAAAAAATTTTAAACTCATATGAAAACCCAAAAGACCCCATATAGCCAAGATAATTCTTTTCTTTTCTTTTTTTTTTTGAGACAGAGTCTCACTCTGTCACCCAGGCAGGAGTGCAGTGGCATGATCTCAGCTCACTGCAACCTCTGCCTCCCGGGTTCAAGCAATGCTCCTGCCTCAGCCTCCCAAGTAGCTGGGATTACAGGAATATGCCACCATGCCCGGCTAATTTTTTGTATTTTTAGTAGAGGCAAGGTTTCACCATGTTGGCCAGGCTTCTCTCGAACTCCTGACCTCAAGCGATCCACCTGCCTTGGCCTCCCAAAATGCTGGGATTACAGGCATGAGCCACTGCACCTGGCCTAGCCAAGAGAATTCTAAGCAAAAAGAACAAGGCTGGAGGCATCATGGTATCCAACTTCAAACTATACTACAAAGCTGTAGTAACCAAAGCTGCCTGGTACTGTTATAAAAACATACATATAGACCAGTGGAATAGAAGAGAGAATTCAGAAATAAGACTACATATCTACAACCATCTGATCTTTGAAAACCCTGACAAAAACAAGCAATGGAAAAGCATTCCCTTTTAATAAATGGCGCTGGGAGAACTGGCTAGCCATATGCAGAAAATTGAAATTGGACCCCTTTCTTACGCCTATACAAAAATTAACTCAAGATGAATTAAAGACTTAAATGTGAAACCCAAAACTACAAGAACCCTTGAAGAAAATCTAGGCAATACCATTCAGGACATAGGCATGGGCAGATTTCACGATGAAAACGTCAAAAGCAATTGCACCAAAAGCAAACATTGACAAATGGGATCTAATGAAACTAAAGAGCTACTGCAGAGCAAAAGAAATTATCACCAGGTGTGGTGGCTCACGCCTGTAATCCCAGCGCTTTGGGAGGCTGAAGGGGTTGGATGAGGATGGGGTCAGGAGTTCAAGACCAGCCTGGCCAAGAGGGTGGAACCCCATTTCTACTAAAAATACAAAAATTAGCCAGGCATGGTGGCAGGCACCTGTAAGCCCAGCTACTCTAGTAGCTGAGGCAGAGAATTGCTTGAACCCGGGAGGTTGCAGTGAGCCGAGACCACACCACTGCACTGCAGCCTGGGTGACAGAGCAGGACTCTGTCTGGAAAAGAGAAAAGAAAAGAAAAGAAAAGAAAAGAAAAGAAAAGAAAAGAAAAGAAAAGAAAAGAAAAGAAAATTATCATCAGACTGAACAGACAATCTACAGAATGGGAGAACATTTTTGCAATCTATTCATCTGACTAAGGTTAATATCCAGAGTCTACAAAGAACTTAAACAAATTTACAAGAATTAACCCCATTAAAAAGTAAACAAAGGCCGGGCACAGTGGCTCATGGCTATAATCCCAGCACTTTGGGAGGTCGAGGTGGGCGGATCACCTGAGATTGGGAGTTTAAGAACAGCCCTGACCAACATGGAGAAACTCCACCTCTACTAAAAATACAAAAAATTAGCCAGGCAAGGCGGCACACGCCTGTAATGCCAGCTACTTGGGAGGCTGAGGCAGGAGAATCACTTGATCCTGGGAGGCAGAGGTTGCAGTGAGCTGAGTTTGCGCCATTGCATTCCAGCCTGGGCAACAAGAGCAAAACTCGGTCTCCAAAAAAAAAAAAAAAAAAAGTGAGCAAAGAACAAGAAGCAGCACTTCTCAAAAGAAGACATTTATGTGGAGCTCAACATCAGTGATCAGTAAGGAAATGGAAATCGAAACCACAATAAGGTATCGTCTCACACCAGTCAGAATGGTGATTATTAAAAAGTCAAAAAACAGACGGTGGTGAAGTTATGGAGAAATAGAAATGCTTTTACGCTTTTGGTGGGAATGTAAATTAGTTCAACCATTGTGAAAGCCAGAATGGCGATTCCTCAAAGACCTAGAACCACATACATTATTGGACCCACCAATCCC